GGTGGCTCACGCTGGCCGCCGACGCGGCACGCCACGTGCCCAAGGAGGGCGCCACCGCGCACCACCACGCGGGCAGCCCCGAAGGTCCGTCGACCCCCTCTGTTTGGCGGCGCGCGCCAGGCGGTGGGGCGAGGGGGGGAATGGGGCCTTCCGAAAAGGCAGGGCGGCGTCTTAGAAGCCCTCTCGGCTTCTACGACGCCTTCACCGGAACCTCCGACCCCGTATGACTAGCATCCTGCCCCGTTCGTGTGCGTCGCATCTTAATTAGTTGCACCGCTCGGGAACCCAGGAGTCACCAAATGCTGCAACCTCTTGGGCTGCATGTCTTACTTCCACCCGTTTACGCCTGCGGAGACGCCCTCATTTCATCTTCGCCAGCGTCCTCAGGGCAAGAGACATCAACTTTTGACCCCTAAGAGGCGAGGCCGTCTCTGGAATGTACTACGGGTCGGCAGGGCCTCCGTGGCAGTTCTGGGGACGCCTCGGGCCATGACCGCTTCGGCCAACAACCCGAGCATGCCTCGGGGGCCATGGTCTTCAGCGGCTGAGCCGACACCGGGGCTCCGAAGCCGAGGGCGCTCCCGGGCATCGCGCGGTAGGAGGGCACGTTGACGCGGCGGAGCTCCTCGTGGACCCCATTCATGATGCGCAGAAGGCATCCGTACACCACTAACGTGCCTCGCCAGCGCCATCCTGGGCCCTGGCATTACATACACGCCCTCCTGGACGATGTCAGGAGGGTCCATACACCAGGCTGGGACCCAGGATGGCACTGGCCAGGCACGGTGGTAATGTGTAGGTGCCCGCTGCAGAGAGATACAAGAAGGCAGCACATTCGCCACACACACAAATACAGCAAGAAGGACAACGGTCTTACATCATCCCTGGGTGCGTGGGTAAAGTGGGATTCCGTGACCCTGAGTGTGTTTATTTCGTTGTTGGTTGCTGCTCTTGTTCTTTGTGTTTCAGTCGAACTCTCATTCCCAAATACAACTATTGTTGATCCCCCCATCCCTGGTACACCTGGTGCTTTTTCAAATAAAATGCTCCTCCTGTGGCTCGAACCCTGTTTCCTACATGGCGGAATCTTGAGGCTCAGATTGTGTTGCTGGCCACCGGCTTACAACACCAAGAACAACAATCATCTTGAGACTCTTTGCTCTTGCCTGCCGCGTGCCATTCAAGACGTAGATCCCGAACCCTCGGTACCCGCCCGCCCCCTTTGTCTTCGATCGTACCCCCCATGTGGGTATATCTTCCTTACCTGCCGCGTGTAATTGGTGCAGCCCCTCGAATAGGGGAATAGAGGACGGACGAAAAGGGGAGGAAGAAGGATGGGGCACGGGATTAGCAAAAGGGGGGCCAAGACCAAAAAGCACGTGGCAAAAACAGACAGGCTGATCGGGCGGGTAGACCGTAACAGGCGGGGTGGGAAGGCGGGCCCAGGCGGCCAGCGGCCAGGTCGAGCAAGCGGTTTCGCTCAAGCGGGGATACTGCATGAATCGCGAGAAGGTTTCGAGCGATAGTGCGATTCCCAAGTGAACCGCGAGAAAGACCAATGCGAGAGAGCGATTCTGGAGCGTCGATGGCGTGGCTATTGAATAAATCCCGGGGAAGTCCCACGCGAGAACACGATTGCTGCATCAATTGCGCGAAACTCCCGCGCGACAGCGCATATCAGGCGAGTGTCATTGTTGTAACTCGGGGGCCAAGGGGCCACTTTGACATTCAATACTTTCCTGCTAGCAAACAGAGTGCGAGCCCCGGGAGGGGCACTTGCATTTTAAAAATATTATATGCGACGGAGGGGGGATCACCCATCATAGTGCTTCAGAAGTGTCAGTTCAACAACAACAGCAGCAGCAACAGCAGCAGCAGCAACAACACCAGCACCACCACCAACAATAACAACAATTACAACAACAAAATAAACAACAACAACACCAGCAGCAGCAACAACAACAGCAACAACAACATCAGCAGCAGCAGCAACAACAACACCAACAGCAACAACACCAACAACACCAACAACAACACCACCACCACCACCAACAACAACACCAACAACACCAACAACAACACCAACAACAACGGCTCCCGCCTGCTTCTCCCTCACAATGTATTCAAACTTGCACCCTCGCGCGGGGCACCCACACAATGTATGCAGGATCCGCGTTCTCGCGTTTTACATCCTCGCAACGCACTGAAACGCCGCGATCCCAACACCCAGGAACCATCTCTCTCTCTCCTTCGTTTTCTCTCTCTCTCTCTCTGGACTGCCTTGCGATTAAACTGGAAATCGCGCTATCTCTAAAGACTTTCTCGCGATCCATGCAGCACTGACGCTTCAGCGACCCGCCAACTCGACGCACGCCGTCTGGGCCTGCCCGCCCGACCCGCCCCGCCAGACCCACCCGTCTGGTTCTGACCCTTGTTGTTCTGCTCCGAATCCCCCTCCTGCTGATCTCTGTCGTGTTCATCCTTCTCGCTCCCCGTTGTCCCTTCCCTCCTCCCTTGTCCTGTTTGATGGGCTGCGCGAGCTACACGTGGCTGGTAAGGAAAGCATGCCCCAGGAGGGGTTGACCGTAAACGAAGAGGGCGGGTATCGAGTGTTTGGTATATACATGTTGGGCGACGCGCGAGCAGAAAACAAGGAACGGACTTAAAGTGAAGGATGTTTGTTGTCGCCCCCGCCAGCGGCCCATCCGCGACCCACCCTGCGACCCACCCGACGACTCACCCGCGGCCAGACCCCCAACCTATCCCGCGACCCACCTGCGACCCGCCCCGCGACCCACCAACGTTGTCTCGACGAAAATTCGGCGCCTGCGGCCAACTCGATGCGTCATGTGTTAAACTAATCGGCGCCTGCGGCGGGCTTCTTCAGAACCTCGCAGACCGCCGACGCCCCCCCCCCCGTGTTACGCATGACAAATTTAGCTGGGGGAGCTGTGCAAACACATGTGCATCGGATGTGTGGAGGGAGAAGAACGAGGCGACCCCGCCACGAAATCGATGTCGTTTTGCGCGGTGTGTGACGCGCGTGCGGGCAGTACAGAAATGCGCAGGCGGGGGGCCAGACAGGATGACGGGCCGTGGCTGAGGCTTGGTCAAACCAAAAGCTCCCAACCTTGACTGCCCCGCGATGGCTTGGAAATTGTCCCGTGGTAATCCCGTGAGGTTTTCCCGTGATTGTCCTGTGTCTGTCCTGCGGTGAACCCACGGTAATCCACCGTTGTCCCGCAGCTGCCCCGTTGTAGTCCCGTGGTTTTCCCGCAATAATCGCGTAGAGGAGCATCTACACATATGCACAGAACACACATACACGTGTAATACATGCATACACGTGTGCGTTCGCAAGCGTGGATCCCAAATAGTACAATCTGGCACTGCTGAAGTGTAGGCTGTGTCGAGCGACTCAGCGGCCGTTGATTCGAGGAGCAGGTAGGCATCCTCGGGACACCACCACAGGCGGCAACGGCTGGCAACGGGCCAGAACATCGCGAGTCCTCTGGACAACCCAACAAGCGGCAACGGGCGTCATCGGGCCAGCCCCTTGCGAATCCTGTGGGCACCTCCACGGGCGGCAGCGGGCGTCAACGGGCCGGAGCGTGGCGAGCCCTCGGGAGATCCCCGCGAGCGGCAACGGGCGGCCACGGGCCAGAACCTGGCGAAGCCTGTGGGCACCTCCAACAGGCGGCAGCGGGCGTCAACGGGCCAGAGCGTGGCGAGCCCTCGGGAGACCCCCACGAGGGGCCACGGGCGGCCACGGGCCGCAAGGTGACGCATCCCTGGGACCCCCCCACGGGCGGCAACGGGGCGGCAGCGGGGCGGAACGTGGCGAATCGTCGGGACGCCCATGCCATTCCTCTCAACTGCGAGCAAGAGCCCCTAAGCGCAAGTACTTTTTGGGTTATATATATATATACATACATATATATATATATATATATACACACACCTGGGCGCGTGTATACCCCAACGCTCCTGTGTGAGTTTTGGTTGTGAATAGAGCGCTGCGGTCTGCAACCCTCGGTCTTCCCGCCTGCCTCCTGGCGCCTCCCCCCCAGCTCCTTCTCCCGCCCCTCCTGCGCCGGGTTCTCGTTTGAGTCGAGCTTTGCGGTCCATATCCTTGCTGGATCCCTCCTGGCTTCTCCCCCCTCCTACCTGCCTCACACCCTGCTTCTGACCTCGCCTCCATGGGTGGCTGTGAACTGCGCAACTGTCGCCACGTCCGTGGGCTCCTGGGCGGCCCAGCGGAATGACGTGTGCCCCTACATCAGAGTGGGACCTCGCCCTCCGTGGGGGGCTGCAAACTGCGAAACTGTTTTCGCTGTCGTGAGCTCCTGGGCGACCCGTCGGAGTGACGTCACAACAAGATCCGAATGAGAGAAACCTCGCCCTCCCTGACCCTTCTGGGAAGCACACGGCTCCTGGAAGTTCGCCCTCACTGGGGGCTGCGAACTGCGAAACTGTCGCCACAATCGTGAGCTCCTTGGCGGCCCGGCTGAGTGACGTCACATCCAGATCAGAATGAACGAGGCCTCGCCCTCCCCGGGGGCTGCAAAATGCTAAAGCTGCGACATTGTGCTTTATCTTTCGTGGGCTCATGAAATGAAGGAGCATCACGAGGCGAAGCAGGAGCAGGAAGGGGAGCCGCATCGACAGGATAGACAAGCGCGTTCCGCTGCTCGCAAAGTAGCTACTCGCAGATGGCCTGGAAGGGGAGAGCGGACAGGGAGCATCAGGTTGATGAGGTTGTGAGGAAGAGGAGGAGGAGGAGGAGGAGGAGGAGGAGGAGGAGAAAGATGCGGAGGAGGAGGAGGTGGAGGAGGAGGAGCAGGAGCAGGAAGAGGAGCAGGAGGGGGGAGGCTCCCTCCTCCGGGGCTGGGCGCGACGGGGGTGCGATGCCCGCGCGGCGGGAAGTCCTCGTGGAGGGCGTCGATGTAGGCGGCCTGCTGCTTGTGCGAGGCGATGAGGGCCTTGAGGTCTGGGCCAGCCTCGGGTCCGGCCTTCTCCGCATCCCCTGTATCCCTCTTCCTGACACCTCTGCTCCCCCCTCCATCTGCTCTTCCTCGTCATCGCCCTCGCCATCATCACACGGCTCATCACTCCCAACCTCTTCCTCCTCCCTTCCTCCCTCTATGGCTCCCCGTCGTCCTCCTTCTCCAACTCCGCCTCCGCCTCCTCCTCCTCTGTTTCCTCCTCCCTCTCCGTTTCCTCCTCCTCATCCTCCCCCACTTCCTCCTCCTCCTCCTCCTCCGCCTCTTCCTCCTCCTCCCTCCTCCTCCTCCTCCTCCTCCTCCTCCTCCTCTTCCTCCTCCAACTCCTCCTCCTTCTCCTACTCCCCCTCCTCCTCTTCCTCGTCCTCGTCATCCCTTTCTTCCTCTTCCTCCTTCTCCTCCTCCTCTTGTTCCTCCTCCTCATCCTCCTCCTCCTCCTGCGCCTCCTTCTCACTTGATCCTGTTTCCCCTGCCGAGGCTGCGAGTGGTGAACGGCCGAAGGCGCCGCGTGGGCGCCCCGTGTGCTGGCTGGGTCCGCCAAAGTTTCGCCCGGTGGGCGGGCGAGGGCGCCGCGTGGGCGCCACGTTCGCTGGCTGGGTCTGCTGAGGCCTCGCGCGGTGGGCGGCCGTGTGGGCCAGGTGGCCATCGCAAAACCGCTGTGAGAAAGAGCCAGCCGACGACATCTGGCGCGCCCCGAGTTCCGTTCCCAGGACTCTCTCGACTCTGCCTGCGGCGGCGCCCTGCACGTCGCAACGCGTCCCGGGGGGGGGGGGGGGGACAAGAACGCCACAGGCGGCGGAGATGGCCCCGACCGCGATGTGTTGGCGCCCCTTCCTGGAAGCGCCCGCTCCAGAAGCGCGAACCCTGCTGCGTCCCCTGTGCAAGCCGCGTCCCCGCCACCGATGCCCGCGCAAATGCCGGTTTCCCGACCGCCCTGAACGATCCAATGGAGCGCCAACGTGTCCTTAGCTCCTCGCGCCCACGGCTTCCCGGTCGGCTACTTCCGCGAATGCGCGCGCAGCTCTTTACAAAAACGGCATGCTCTTATCCTTTGGAGATCAATCCAAATCTCTGGCTCCGGTTTGTTTCTCTGACGCTGATGCAGGGCAGGCCGTTTTCAACATGGGGCTATCCAGTGGGACCACCCGTGACAAAACGAACGTGCGTTTAAAACACAAGATCATGACGAAATCCGGCGTTGAAAACGAACGTTGAAAACGACACAGATGCCAAACGAAACGAACAACGACACGAGGCGTTTGAAACAACGGAGAACGAAACGAATTAACAACGAAAAACAGCACGTACAACAAAAACAAGGGCCCGAACCAAGATCAACCGCGTTGTGACTGGTCCTTTCAGTATCTCAATCTCGGCGCGAGCGAGGGGGGGGTGAGAAGGAGAAGGCCCTTTCAAGGGCGGCGGGACATGCTCCGTGTCTTCGGGGAAGGCCTAGAAAACTTCTCAGAGGGCCAAGGGGGCTTCCGAGTCTTCTGGGACGGCAGGCCCGTTCTCGCTTCCCCCCCCCGCCGGGCTCGCCGCCGATCAGATTTCTTCGCAATCTGCAACTGGCCACCAGCTACGCGGACGGACGGCGGCTCCTCTTCAAGATGGCGCGCTCGCGACAGGTTGTGTCGATTGCGTGGCCAGGTCTTCCAAACAAAATGAGATAAGTCACCAGATAAGGATTGCAAAAAAAACGAAGGATTGCAAAAAAAACGAAGGATTGCAATCCTCCGAAGGTTTTTTGGGCAATCACTCCTTCTCAAAGCGGGGCTGAACGCTGGAGGCTTCTTTTGCCGTCCGCAGCTCAAGGCGATGAGGCCGAAGCTCTAAAACCCAGGGCTCCCGCGCGAAGGGAGCGCTTGAGGCCGTGCATCGGAGTGCCTTCAAGGCCTTACGAGGAGAGAAGCTGGAACGGGAAGGTGCACTGCAACATTGTTGGCACCTATTGGGCTTACTCCGGTGATCCTCCTCCGCATGAGCACACTCGGCCTACAGCTGTCCCCACCACGCCCACCCGTCCCCATCTGCAGCGATAACACGAACGACAAGCGGATGCTGTCCAACACTAAAAAAGCCCTGAGCACACACAAACAAATTCACACACCCATAGTTTCCCATATTTTCTGGGTTTCTGTCTTCCCGCCCAATTCCCATAGTTTCCCATATTTTCTGGGTTTCTGTCTTCCCGCCCAATTCCCATATTTTCCCATATTTTCTGGGGGATCGCCGATGAATTGTGTCTGTGTGTGTTTCTTCCCCTCCTGACACACGGGGCCGTCGCGGGACACGTCCTGGCGCTGATGGCCCTATACCGTGCTGATTCCCTGTGGGGCAGGTTCGCAGAGTGCAGGGCACGTGCGCTTCTATGGGAGGCCTGGAAATGGGCACCAACACCAAGACAGAGGGCTGCCTCCACAAGGGGGGAGGTGGTCCTAGATTTCGGTGCTGGTGGTAATATTTCGGCCACCTTGGAAGCCAGAATATTACCACCATCACCGAGATCGGGATCTTCTTCCCTCGGTGGAAGATCACCGCCGATCTTGGTGTTGGTGTCAACCTCTAGGCCTGCGATTCTAGACGAAGGTCTCGCATGAACTTCAAGTGGGCGGTGTTCGCCCGCAGCGAATCGGAACGCATGCCAGGAGTTGGGAGGGAGGGCCTGGACGGGAGGGTGTTCTGCGGCATCCGTGATGCATCTGGGCTTTTCTCTTTGTCGTCCTCCCCCCCAGCCCCCTCTTCCCTTCCTCCTCGTCATCGCATGAGTGTCCTGAATCCGCATCCTCGCCCCCTCCCTCCCCATTCCTTGTTCCTCCCTCTGCCCTCCTCAGACAACCCTGTTCTCCCTTGTTTTTGAATCATATGGAGCCCGTACGTCACGCTGAACGCCACACAGATTCAGCTAACCGAGCCCCTGAGCATGATGCTCTCCTGGTGCCTGCCAATTGCCCTGCTCTGATTCAGCCCCGCCCCTCCCCCCCGGCGGAGATGAAGCCCCGTCTCACACATTTGGCCACCCGTGGCCACCTGTGCGCTTGCGCGTGCCACAGGGGGCCCGCTCTGGGGTGTCGACAGCCCCGCGAATGGCCCGCGGGCTCCGCGGGCCTTGGGAAGGTTCGGAACCCCGAATGCATTGGACGAGGCGCCAGCCCCCCACCCTCCTTCGCTCCCCTCCCCCGCCTCCCTGCCAGCACCGTCGGCACACCAGAAGGAGAGAGTGCTTGGTTTTCCCGGCGGGCCGTACTAGTACGCCAGAGTACGCCTATTAGTACGACCCGGCGGGTCGTACTAGTACGCCGAAGAACGCCTACTAGTACGACCCGCGGCGCCCGGGAGGCGTACTCGTAGAGCAGAAGTACGCCTACTAGTACGACCCGCGGCGCCTGGGAGGCGTACTCGTAGGGCCGAAGTACGCCTACTAGTACGACCCGGCGGGTCGTACTAGTACGCCGAAGTACGCCTACTAGTACGACCCGCGGCGCCCGGGAGGCGTACTCGTAGAGCAGAAGTACGCCTACTAGTTCGCCCCGCTGGGTCGTACTAGTACGCCGAAGTACGCCCACTAGTACGACCCGCGGGGCGAAGGAGGCGTACTCCTAGGGCCGAAGTACGCCTACTAGTACGACCCAGCGCTACTAGTACGCCGAAGTACGCCTACTAGTACGACCCGCGGCGCCCGGGAAAGCGTACTCGTAAGGGCCGACGTACGCCTACTAGTTCGCCCGCTGGGGTCGTACTAGTACGCGAAGTACGCCCCTCGTGCGACCAGCGGGGCGAAGGAGGCGTACTCCTAGGCCGAAGTACGCCTACTAGTCCGACCCGGCGGGTCCTACCTAGTAGGCCAGAGTAGCCCTACCAGCACCCCCCCCCAAACCCCCAGGGCCGTACTAGTACGGCAAAAGTAGCCCTACTAGTGAGTCGCCCCGGGCGGACTTTCGGGGACGTCTCGAGCAGAGGCTCACTCCGCCGGTCGTACTAGGAGCCCAAAGTAGCTCTACTAGTAGCCCCGGCGGGGCGGATTTTCGAGGATGTCCCGAGCGGGAGCCCCCTCCGCCGGTCGCACTAGTAAGCCGAAGTAGCCCTACGAGTACGCACCCGCCACGCTCCCAGGGACCGTATTAGTAGCCCAAAGTAGCCTTACTAGTAGCCTTTCCGGGGCGAACTTGTGAGTATGTCTCAGGGGGGGGGGTTCTTTCCGCAATTCGTACTAGTAGGCCAAAGTAGCCCTACTAGTACGCCTCCGCCAACCCCCCAGGACCGTACTGCTAGGCCAAAGTAGCTCTACTAGTAGCCCCGCCGGCCATCCCCCCCGGGTCCGTACTAGTAGGGCTACTTCGGCCCTACTAGTAGCACCGCCGGGGCGGACTTTCGAGGATATTTCGATCGAGGGTCCCCTCCGCTGCTTGTACTAGTAGGCAAAAGTAGCCCTACTAGTACGCTCCGGCGGGGCGGACTTTCGAGGATGTCTCGAGCGAGGGCCCCTTCCGCCGGTCGTACTAGTAGGCCAAAGTAGCCCTACTAGCACGCCGCCGCCAGACCCCTCTGGACCGCACTAGTAGGCCAAAGTAGCCGTATCGGTAGCCTCGCCAGGGCGGACTTCCGAGGATGTCTCGAGCGGAGGCCCTCTCCGCCGGTCGTACCACCAGGCCAAAGTAGCCCTAGCACGCCCCCGCCAGCCCCCTCGGGGCCCGTACTAATAGGCGAAAGTAGCTCTACTAGTACCCCTGCCGGGGCGGACTTCCGAGAACGTCTCGAGCGGGGGCGCCCTCCGCCGGTCGTACCATTGGCAAAAGTAGCCCCGCTAGTGCGCCCCCGCCAGCCTTCCCGGGCCGTGCGAGTACACCAAAGTAGCCCTACTAGTAGCCCCGCCGGGGCAGAGTTCCGAGAATGTCTCGAGCGGGAGCGCCCTCCGCCGGTCGTACTAGTAGGCCAAGTAGCCCTAACGAGTACGCCCCCGTCAAGCTCCCGGGGGCCGTACTAGCAGGCCAAAGAAGCCCTTACAGTAGCCCACGCCGGGGACGAACTGTCGAGGATGTCCCGAGCGGGAGCCCCCTCCGCCGGTCGTACTAGTAGGCCAAAGTAGCCCTATTAGTACGCACTCGCCATCCCCACAGGCCCGTACTATCAGGCCCAAAGAACCCGACTAGTAGCCCCCGCTTGGGCGGACTTTCGAGGATGTATCAAGCAGGGGCGCTCTCCGCAGGTCGTAGGCCAAAGTAGCCCTACTACTACGCCCCAGCCATCCCCCCAGATCCGCACTAGTAGGGCCACTTCGTCCCTACTAGCAGCCCCGGCGGAGCGGACTTCCGAGAATGTCTCGAGCGGGAGCGCCTTCCGCCGGTCGTACTAGTAGGCCAAAGTAGCCCTACTAGTACGCCCCCGCCAGCCCCCATGGGCCGTACGAGTACACCAAAGTAGCCTTACTAGTAGCTCCGCCGGGGCAGAGTTCCGAGAATGTCTCGAGCGGAGGCCCCCTCCGCCGACCGTACCAGTAGTAGGCTCAAGTAGCTCTACTAGAATGCTCCGGCCTAAACCCTCCAACCCCTTCCTTCTGCCCCCTCCCCCCTCTCTATCTCTTTCTCTCTCTCTCTCTCTCTCTTTCTCTCTGTATTCCTCGCTTTTCCCTCTCTCCCTCCCCCCGACCCCCCCCTTCCCCCTCCTCCCTCCTTCCCACTTCCTCGTCGCTGGCGCTGCCGCCGTCGCCGTCGTCGTCGTCGCCGTCACGCAGCCCCAAGCCGACCCCGCGGAAGCCCCAATAACCACAATTAAGGCTAATCGATTCGCACATCGCTCGGCGATGATAAAGTTCAGTCTCGCCGCCACCCCCGGCCTGGACACAAGAGGTTACCCCTGCGCCCGGCCGCTGTCTCGTCGTCGTCGTCGTCGTCGTCGTCGTCGTCGTCGTCGTCGTCGTCGTCAGCTCCTCAGTCACCCTGTCGGGCACGCAGGCCCGTGGCGGTAACAAATGTGCTGAAGACCAGCTCAGACGCGGCTAGGTCCAAGTCGTTCACAGACAGGACTCCCGGGCCGTATAGGGAGGGGAGGGGTTATGCAGAGGAACTCCCGCGTCAGACTTTCTCGCAAGTCTCTCGAGTTACGCACGCACGAAGCTCCCGGCTCATTCCTTCCCCATGTCCACGATTGAAGTGGCCACAAGGGGACCGGGGACCGAGGACCAGACCGGGGGCCGGTCAAAGAAATTCCGCCATTGTGAAGCGGGTGCGGAGGCCTCCAATATGCCGAAAATCCTCCAAATGGCCGACGTACGCGTGCTAGTACGAGTGGAGCGGGCGTACGGGTTCGGCTACGTAGGCGCACTAATACGACAGCAAAGTGCACGGACGGGCGTACGAGTACGGCTACGTGAGCCTCCGAATACGGCGGCGGTGCGCGGCTCGGGCGTACGAGTACGGCTACGTACGGCGACTAGTACGACTGCGACGTGCACGCCCGAGCGTACGAGTACGGCTACGTACCGGTACGAGTGCGACTGGAGCGGGCGTACGACTTCGGCGACGTAGGCCTACTAGTACGGCAGCAGAGTGCAAGAACGGCCGTACTAGTACAGCTACGTACGCCTACTAATACGACGGCGGTGTGCCGGGTCGGGCGTACGAGTACGGCTACGTACGGTTACGAGTACGACTCCGACGTGCCCTGCCGAGCGTACGAGTAGGGCCAGGTACGCGTACTAGTACGACCGGAGCGGGCGTACTAGTACGGCTACGTAGGCCTACTAGTACGACGGCGGAGTGCAGGGACGGTCGTACTAGTGCGGCTACGTAGGCCTACTAGTACGACGGCGGAATGCAGGGACGGTCGTACTAGTGCGGCTACGTAGGCCTACTAGTACGACGGCTGTGTGCGGGGCGGGGCGTACTAGTACAGTTACGTACGCCTACTAGTACGACTGCGGCGTGCACGGCCGAGCGTACGAGTACGGCTACGTACGGCTACTAGTACGACTGCGGCGTGCACGGCCGAGCGTACGAGTACAGCTACGTACGGCTACTAGTACGCCCCGCGGTCGTACTAGTAGGAGGAAGTAGGCCTACTAGTACGACGACCGGGCTAAGCAAGCCTATTCTGACCAGAAGGGGACAGGCCGAGAGCGGCGGCCTCGTACGAGGACCCCCGCTTCTGGGAGGACGTGGGGGCGCGTGGCTTTCGGGCAGGCGGCGCCCCTTCTGAGAGGCCCCCCCTGTGCTCGGGAGCGGCCAAGAGGGGGGTGTCCAAGAGGGGGGGGCGCAGATCATGACCGGCGGCATGTGCGCGGCCCAGCGGGGGGGCCAGGGACGTAATGAAACAAGAAGAGGCGCCATGAGATCTGGGGAAATATCATGGCCCCCGCCATGATATCCACCCCCCCCTAGTCATCACCCCCCTCTTTTCCGCCCCCGACGTGCCTTCCGGACAAGCCCCCCCGCTCGACCCGGCCACGTCTTGCTCGCCGCCGGCGGCAGGCCCAGCCATCAGATGCCCGGCCTTGCCTTTTCCGTGCGGGGTCCCCCCGGACGTCCTGGCCCTTTGTCCCGAGGCCGGCATGCCGTCCTGAGAATAATTTGCTGGCGGCTATACGGGGCCCGATAGCCAGCTCCCAGGGGGCCGAAGACGACGCACACCTCCGCCCTGATTTGTTCAAGACCGCTCCTCCTCCACGCTCTTCCTCCACGCTCCTCCTCCTCCTCCTCCTCGTCCTCGATTGGCTTCCCCGCCTGGGTCTTCACGTCCTCGCCGACGAAGATGTTGAAGGCGCTGCGCGAGTCGCGCTGCACCTCGAAGGCGGTGCCGATCACCGAGATGCAGATCTTGGGCTGGTAGACGTCCACCACGGCGTCGGTGTAGGCCTGCTCGTAGAAGTTGCTTTGAAAAGCTGAGGGGTGTTTTTGTTCACCGTTTGGGTGGGCGTTTTCGTGCTCGGCGTTTCGACCTTGGGCGGAAGGGGGGGTGAGGGGGGGGTCTGGCTCCGGACCTCTGCTTGGTGCGACTGGTCCAAAAACAGCCACAATCTACTCCATCGAGGGGGGAGGGGGGGGCGAGGGCCCGCGCCGATCGGCAAAGCAAGGAATAAGAAAACGATCGCTTGAAGATCGACGTGTCTTATCACTTTGGGGCGCCGTTTTTGTTGCGTGTTCAGGTGCGGGATCGGCCCGTGGCCGACCTGCCTGTTATCTTATCGTTGTTGTTGCGCTCTTCTTGCCATTTGAACTAGATATTACTTTGCCGTCTATCTCCCCCCCACTTTGTGGGTTGCCTTTTGCGGCGCTGTTCGGTCAAGTCAACATCGAAGAGCCGCGAACTGACACAAACATCGCATCTGTGAGAACAGCTGGAAAGGCCTGCTCGAACTTGCTCACGAGCATCTGGGGGTCCCCAGCCTTGGGAGGAAGCCAACCGTACCGTACACCCGCCCTCGCGTCCCTGCGGCGTCTGAAATCGGCAGCTCCAGAGGGTGTGGTTTGCAAAAGGTGCGGTTTGCGGAGGAGGAGGAGGAGGAGGAGGAGGAGGAGGAGGAGGAGGAGGAGGAGGAGGAGGAGGAGGAGGAGGAGGAGGAGGAGGGTGTGGCAGCTCCAGGGGGCACCCTGGGGGCCGGGCGGGCACCTCGACAGAACCCTCCGCCGCGCCCCGACCAGGCCCGACGAGGCCCCCACGGCGCCCTTTCGCAGTCCACACCCAGGCGTATAACTGCACCGCTCGTAGCCGCCGGGGAGGAGCACGACGGCCGACGCCGCCCCAGCTGGGGCCAGGGATCCTCAACGAAGGCCGCGTATAGGATTCATAGGATCCCTATAGAGCTCCTATATGCTTCCTGGAGGATTCACATAGGACCTATAGGATTCCTGTAGGGTCCGTATAGGAATCATAGGATTCCTTTAGGATCTGGAGCTCGGCTCGCCACTCTTGTCGCGACGCGGAGATTTGCTCACGACCTCCGAGCTCGGGGAGGCACCGACGCCGGCCCTGGCCCCATGGCGATCCCGAGCCTGGGCCCGGGAGCGGCGCGCTTGAGCCTGCCTGCCCTGGCCTGGGGCGCGGTGTGCACCGCGTCCTGGGCCCAGAGTGGGTCTGGCCGTGGGATCGGTGCTGGCGTGCCCAGATGGTCTGGTACCGGAAATTTTCGGTAGCGATTTCGACGCACCCCGAATTTCGGGAGCGACCGGATCTTCGTCTGAGGGCGTTGAAAAAGCGGATTTCAGAACGCTCTGATACCGGTATTGGGCGCTACATTTCGGTATTTCGGTAGCGACCGATCTCTGCGGAGCGCTACCGGAAATTTTCGGTAGCGGACCATCAGGGTGGCGTACGGTTGGTGTCCCCCGACGGCCGGCATGCGGGGGTCCTAGAAGAAGGAACAACTGCACAGACATGAGCTCTCGGCGGCCCGCGCGGATCTCCTGGGTCGGCACTGGACCCCCTCCCTGGCGCGCGGAGCGCGCTGCGGGCGGCGCCGGAGGTGCCGCGGAGGGGGGTGCGCAGCACCGACCGAAGAATCCGCGCGGACCTCGGATAAGCTATGTCTACGCAGTGGTTCTTCTTCGAGGTCCGTAGCCGTGTCGAGGTTGAACCACTGCTGGAAGATGCCGGAGCTGTAGCGCTCGGCGAGGCGCTCGATGGGCACGCGCAGCGTGCCGAGGCAGCGCGCAGTCTCGGGCGTGAAGACGGGCTCGGGGCACTCGTACACGATGATCCGCCACCGTGCCCTTCGGCACACAATGGAGCGGTACGACATGGTATAATGGCTCCCGCGAGAGCGGATACCCAGACATCCAGCGTCTCGAACAAATCAAGGCGAACGTTTTCGCAACTTTGGCCTCTGGGGGCCTTTGCTAATTAGGTCCCGAGACCGTCAGAAAACGGCTCAGGATTAAGAGCTGGTGCTGGGGAAAGGGAGCGTCGGGACTTCTACGGAGCCCGCATTGACAATGCATCGCCCACCGCGGGAGCGGACAGGAGTGAGGGGCGGCCCCAGGGTTGGAGAAGGCGGTCCCAGGGTGGGAGAACCAACAGCCTAGAAGACAGAAGCTCCACCAAAAGCGCCGAGCAATATGTTTGTTAGAATTCGGCAGGTTGACTTGCACGGAGGCGGGGCGGGGCGAGGGCCAAAGGAAGTCTGGACTTCCACGCAGGCCGAGAGAGTCCATGGCGCGTCTTTCTGGCACGGCGCCGTCCGACAAGGCGGCGGAAGCAGGGGAGAACCGAAATGCGAGCAAACCTGCCATATAATCCAAATTATCCCAGTGCGACCCTACCAAGGAGTTGGAGCCCCTAGGAAAGCAGCATTCGTAGTAACAATAAAGCTGACCTGAAGCTAAGCTAAAGCTAAGCTAAAGCTGAGCTAAAGCTAAGCTAACGCTAAGCTAACGCTAAGATAAAGCTAAGCTAAAGCTAAGCTAAATCTAAGCTAAAGCTAAGCTAAAGCTAAGCTGCAGCTAAGCTGCAGCTAAGCTAAAGCTAAGCTGAAGCTAAGCTAAAGCGAAGCTAAAGCTAAGCTGGAGCTGAGCTAAAGCTAAGCTAAACCTAAGCTAAAGCCAAGCTAAGGCTAAGCTAAAGCTACGCTAACGCTACGCTAAAGCAAAGCTAATTCTAAGCTAAAGCTGAGCTGAAGCTAAGCTAAAGCTAAGCTGAAGCTAAGCTAAAGCTAATCTAACGCTAAGCTAAAGCTAAGCAACAGCTAAGTTAAGGCTAAGCTAAAGCTACGCTAAGGCTACGCTAAAGCTACGCTAAAGCTAAGCTAAAGCTAAGCTGACGCTAAGCTAAAGCTAAGCTGACGCTAAGCTAAAGCTAAGCTAAATATAAGATCAAGCTAAGCTAACGCTAAGCTAACGCTAAGCTAAAGCTAAGCTGATGTAAACTGAGATAAGTTAAGAGAAGCTAAACTGCGCTAAGCTAAGCTAAGCTACAGCTAAGCGAAGCTAAGATGAAGCTAAGCTAAGCTAAACTAGGCTAAGATGAGATAAGCAACGCTAAGCTAAGGGGACGTACCTGGGGGAACCGCGGGGCGGGGACTGGGGGAACCGGCCGGGGCGTTTTCCACTGCCCGCCCCTTTAAGCAAACCAAGTAAGAACCCTCTAGGTAGAGCCTAGGTAGGGAAAAAGACACGCTCTCACAACATGCGAATACCCATGTCTTGAGCAGGGACCGACCGTCCCGGCAGTCCTATAGTCATACCACGAAATGCGCTTAGAACCCAAAAACGCTTCAAGAACAACAACAATGTTCTTAGAACATAAACCCGATGTGGTAAAGCAAGACAGACTCCGCCAGAAACGTTCTAGGAACATTTCGTGGAAACCACAAAAGGTTCTCAGAACATTGCTTGGTAGGGCTATAACTGCGCCCCTGCGCAGCACAAGGAGCCGGTGCCGCCCCCGCGCGCGACACTGCCGCGGGGGGCCCCCGGGCGCTCCCCGAGGCCCCCGGGCCCCCGCCACCACCGGCAGTCTCCCCGAGCGCCCCCCCCCCCCGTCCCCTCCCTCGCCCCTCCCCCCTCCCCCCCCCCATCTGACCTTCCAGGAGGGCAAAAAACTAGCACCCGATTTGAACAAACCTATCCCAAAGCCGTTCTACGTCTTGGTTTTAGGCTGTTTCGCTCAGCTTTTTAGGTTTTTAGGTACCCAGTGCTAAAACCCCACAGCGGGGCCCGCCCCCTGACCTTCCAGAGAGCTCCTTTTTAGCACTGGAGGCCTAAGAACCTAAAAAAAAAAACTCCGCGAAACAGCCTAGCAACCAAGACGTAGAATGGCTTCGGGATCGGCTTTTTCACGTCGGGTGCTACTTTTTTAGCCCTCCTGGCAGGTCAGGGGCCATGTTGGCCCGGGCGTCTCCTCGCCCGGTCTCGGGCCACGCGCGGGGCCCCCTCCGATCGATGTGGCTAGAAGCCTTTCGGGCGGGTGGTACGGTAGAGGGAAACAATTAGTGGACACCCCTCCTGCCCCCCAAACTCAAAGTTGGAACGCGGGGGGGAGACTGCGGTCGAGGTGCAACTCATCAGACCCACCGCCAACTTTGAACATTGGGGGAAGGGGGAGGCGTTCACAGATGAATGTGGCATGAGTGTTCCCTAATTTTTTCCGAGGCCTGTACAGGCCTCTTTTCTTCACCCCCCATGTCGGGCACCCCCGTTACCACCCGCCCGAAGAATGGCGCTAACGATGGGGTCCGGTGAAAGATCACGGCTTGAGCCCAGACTTTCTGCTCATGTCTTCGAGCCGGATGGATCTGAGGGGTCCTGGGGCGAGAGACCGGGCGACGAAGGCGCCGCGCTCGAAAAAACTGGGACGCCGGGCCTCATGGTATCGGAGATTGGGAGGTGAGATCGCAGTGGAACGGAAACCCCCAACTGGGAAGTCATTTCGTTTCGTTCGTGTCGTGCGTGCGGGCGAGGCGAAGCTGCGTGGGCGCGCGAGAGGAATGAACCCGCCGTTGCTAGGGCGAAGTCAAGTCAAATAATTCTCCCCCGCCCGCCCGTCCGGCGGTGGCTCGCGGTGTCCCG